ACTTAAAACATGTAACTGTATCGGTCTGGCCCGGACCCGGGCTGGGTGGACGGGGCTGGGGTCGGACTCGGCCGACGCGGGCCCATGTGCCGGCCATGTGTCTCCCCGGCGGCGACAAGCGGTGGACGGGAGCCGCGGGCCGCGGCAGTGTGAGGTCGGCGATAGCCCGTGGTGGGTGAGCGACCGTGTGGAAATACATACAGAAACTACAAGCTATTTCGGCATTGCGAAAAATGGCCAACAAGACCGGCAGTGGGACTGTAGACGTGAAAGGAGTGGACTCGAGTGGACAGACCGTGGTGGTGGCGCCCAGTGTCGCATTCGACGCGCGTGTGATCGCCGAATTCGATGGGACCGGCGATGTGGTCGAATGGCTGGGCAGAGCGGAGCTGCTCTGCCAGCACCGCGGAGTGGATGCAGCAGCGATCATCCCACTCCGGTTGACCGGCGGAGCCTTCGCCGTGTGGGCGCAGCTGCCGGACGAAAGCCGTGGCAGTTTGGCGGCCATACGCGCAGGCCTGTACCAGGCTTTTGCGCTTGATCAGCATGCAGCATACGAGGCCTTCACCACCCGAAGACTCCGCAGTGGAGAGTCAGCCGATGTGTTTCTGGCGGACCTTCAGCGGCTGGCACAGCTGTTTGGTGGCGTACCGGAGCGTGCGCTGACCTGCGCTTTTGTAGCAGGTCTGCCCGAGTCTGTTCGGCAGATGGTGCGGGCTGGGTCTAGAGCGGAAGGGCTCGACCTTGCCAGTGTGCTGGCGCGCGCCAGAGCTGTGCTCAGCGACGAGCGCGTGGCGGCGGCGGCGGCGGCGGCGGCGGCGGCGGCGGCCGGGCCGGCACCCCTCGCCCCCGCCCTCTCCCGTCAGCGGCTGTCAGCGCAGGAGGGACCGTCGCGCCGGGCCAGCCGGCCGCGGCGCTGCTGGGCATGCGGTGATATAGGCCATATGTCCTTCTCATGCCCCCGCCGAGCTGCGGGAAACGACGGAGGAGAGGACGAGTCAGCGCCGGCGTCCTCTCGCGTGCAGCACTGAGCGGCGCTCTGCCAGTCGTGCAACTGCGAGTCAACGGGCGAGACTGTCGAGCGCTAATCGACACCGGCTGCACCGATAACATCATTTATGCACCGTTCTGCGAACAATGGCAGCGCGGACCTGTCTCGGTGACGACGATGAGCGGTGACGAGTTTCAGTGCACTGGCTCGGGCAGTGCTGACGTGGTGACTGTGACCGGGCAGCGGGCCCGAGTGAGTGTGCTGGTGGTGAGCGAGCGGCCCCTGGGAGTGGAACTAATTATCGGCATGTCTGGCATCTCTAGCCTGGGGGGTGTCAGTGTGCAGTCACCGTCTCAAGTCCGCTTCTGTGGAGCCGCTGCCCGTGCACCACTCGAAGTTGACGCGCCGGACTTTAGTGTGCGGTTCGACTCGGCAGAGCGAAAGTGGACTGTGGCTTGGAAGTGGGCGGACAACTCTGGCCCTGAGTGCCTGGAAAACTCTGTGCCCCAGTACTCCGTGCCACGGTCCGCCCGCTACGAATTTGACACGGAGCTGGACACATGGATCAGCAACGGCTGGCTGCTGCCATACGACGAGCAGCGGCTCGGCCCACCGCGAGGGCTCGTACCGCTGATGGCTGTACAACAGAAGAATAAGGAGAAAGTGAGGCCGGTGCTGGACTATCGGGAGTTAAACAGCCACCTAAACGCCCACACCGCTGAAGCAGATGTCTGCGCCGATCAGCTGAGGAAGTGGCGGCGTCACGGCAGAAACGTGGCGGTCGTTGACCTCAAAAAGGCGTACCTTCAGATCCATCTCGACGAAAGTCTATGGCCGTATCAAACGGTTGAGATTCGTGGCCAGCGCTTCTATCTGGGGAGGCTAGGATTTGGACTCAGCCTAGGGCCGCTAGTCATGAAGGCGGTCGTCAGTGCTGTGCTGGCACAGGACCCTGAAATCCAGCGTGCAGTGCTCTCATATGTGGATGACTTGCTGGTAGATGAGGACATTGCGAGCGCGGAGCGGGTTGTCAGTCATTTCGCCAGGTATGGACTCGAGTGCAAGGCCCCTGAGCGTGTGTCTGATGGTGCGCGGCTGCTCGGACTGCGAGTTCGCCCACTGCGTGACGAGCTGCACTGGGAGCGAGACAACCCTGTCGGCCCCCCGCCCAGCCCGCTGACCCGCCGCAGCGTGTTTGCTTGGTGCGGTCGCCTGGTGGCCCACCTCCCGGTCTGTGGGTGGCTGCGTCCCGCTACAGCCTGGCTCAAACGCCGTGCTAATGCTGTGACACGCGGCTGGGACGACATGACAGCGGACCGTACGCTGCAGGCGCAGGTCGATCATGTGGCTGAACGGGTGAACAGTGACGATCCGGCGCACGGCGTGTGGTGTGTCTCAGGTGACGCGGCCGTGGTGTGGACGGATGCCAGCTCGCTGGCCGCAGGCGTTGTTTTGGAGACCGCAGACGGTGGCCCTGTGGAGGATGCCTGCTGGCTGAGGCGTGAAGCTGCTGCTTCTACCCACATAAACATGGCTGAACTGGATGCTGCTGTGAAGGGTATCAACCTAGCCATCGCATGGGGGATGAGAACTGTTGAACTGCGAACTGACTCTGCCACAGTCCATCGATGGATTGACGACGCTCTGAGTGGGCGAGCTCGGCTCCGCACTAAGGCACACGGCGAGATGTTAATCCGGCGGCGTGTCGACCTTATTCGCCAGCTGGTGGAAGAAATGGGTCTCGTGCTGACAGTGACCCTGGTCAGGTCAGACGAAAATCGCGCAGACGCCCTGACACGGGTTCCGAAAGAGTGGCTGAGGCATGACGCATCAGGGCCCGCGGCAGTCGGCACGGCGGTGGCCGCCGACACGGGAGCGGCAGCCGGCACGGCGGTGGCCGCCGACACGGGAGCGGCAGTCGGCACGGCGGTGGCCGCCGACACGGGAGCGGCAGTCGGCACGGCGGTGGCCGCCGACACGGAAGCGGCAGTCGGCACGGCTGTGGCCGCCGACACGGGTGCGACCGCGGTGGTCGGCGCGGCGGTGGCCGCCGGCACAGAAGCGGCGGTGGCGACCGGGGCAACAGTGGACGCCTCTATTGCTCAGCTGCACGAGCGCGCCGGTCACCCAGGGATTCGCCGCACCTGGTATTTCGCCCGCCGTGACATCGCTCCTACCATTACTCGGTCTCAGGTGCGTGCTGTTGTGCATCACTGTGATGTCTGCCGCTCAATCGATCCGGCACCGGTCACCTGGCGTCACGGATCGCTGGAGGTACCGGAGACGTGGCAACGGCTGGCCATCGACGTCACCCACTACCAGCATCAGTCGTACCTGACAGTGATCGATTGCGGTCCGTCTCGTTTCGGTTTGTGGCGGCAGTTGCGTCGGCCGGACGCGGAAAATGTTGTGTCGCATCTGGAAGCGATATTATGCGAACGTGGAGCGCCATGCGAGATTCTATGTGATAATGACACTGTGTTTCGTGGACGACATTTTGCGGCGTTCGCGGCGAAATGGGGCGTGGTTTTGCGGTTCCGAGCAGCATACGAGCCGGGCGGTAACGGTATTGTTGAACGGCATCACCGGACAGTTAAGGTTATTGCCGCTCGAAAGCAATGCTCAATCCCAGAGGCCGTGCATCTTTACAATGTGTCGCCCCGCGACAGCGACAGCGCCAGTGATGCCCCCGTCGGTCGGATTTATCGCTACACAGTGCGCGACTGTGTCGGGTCAGCTGGTCGCCAGCTGCCGGTCGGTGACAGTGACGGTCAAGGGCGCAGCCAGGGAACGGACGGCCGTGGGAATGGCCGCGAGGGATCGGACGGCTCGGAGCCGGCGGCGCCGCGCGGGACGGGCGAGTTCGCCCCTGGTGACGCTGTGTGGGTCAGGCGCCGTGGCACGCGATGCACGGACGTGTCTGAACCTGGTGTCGTGTCCTCAGTAGTTTCTCCACAGGTAGTAGTAGTTGATGGCACCCCTCATCATGTTAGAAACCTGCGACACCGCACCGTCAACGTGAGCGATAACTGTTTGGTTGACGACACAGAGGGTGCCGAAAATGAGCTGCCACTTTTCGTATCCGCGCAGCCACATAATGCTGATTCTAGTCCTGGCCCCGTAGTGAGTGTCATGTCTGATGTCACGCCTCGCACTGAATGCACTCGTGCTAATGATGCTTCCAATGACGATGGACCAGGAGTCGTTGCACCACGAACCCTGCGGCGCACCGAGCGGGAGAGTCGCCCGGCACAGCGCTATGGAACACCGGTGTATTATTAGGTACTCGCCTTGTTATGTTGTGTCATGTTATGTGCATTTTTGTGTTGATTATGGATTTGTGATCTTGTAGATCAGGGGGGTGTGTAACTGTATCGGTCTGGCCCGGACCCGGGCTGGGTGGACGGGGCTGGGGTCGGACTCGGCCGACGCGGGCCCATGTGCCGGCCATGTGTCTCCCCGGCGGCGACAAGCGGTGGACGGGAGCCGCGGGCCGCGGCAGTGTGAGGTCGGCGATAGCCCGTGGTGGGTGAGCGACCGTGTGGAAATACATACAGAAACTACAAAACATATTCGTTAGAATTGTGTTTTTCTATTGAAAAACAAATCTGAGTTCCTATTGATGACAACGATGATTTAGCGGCTAAGCTTCAGTAACGGTGTCCTGATTTCTTTCCTGTGTCATGGTATGCGCATTGTGTGTGTCATGTGTGTGTTAGCTATTTTGTATAATGTTTGTTATAGTTACTCTATACGACTGAAGCAGCATTTTGATGTCTGTGCGCTAGCTCCCGCTTACCTATTTAATTTGAGTTTTTTTTTTAGGAAACGGAATGACAATATCGAAGATGACGATTATGCCACATTTGCTCTTTGGATGAATTCTGATGCTTGGGTAGTCATTGTCATCGTTAACTTTTCATACTTTCCCTCAATCGCATGTTCGCTTTTTGAGTCGAACGAAAATTTGATCTTCGTAGGGTCATAATCTCTTGACAGTGGATAAGGAATCGAACAATCGTTTTATTCGCTTTATATGGTAATAAATTGCAATAACAAATCGCAATTTTAACAGAAAAGTAATGTCTCCATTATTATACCTAAATGTTTCGATGAAAAAAAAAACTATATTCTCCCGACTCCCAGAGCTTTGTTGGGTTTCATTCAACTCCTAATCAACGATAAGGTACCTGTATCTTGTAACTAAGTTCAAATATTTATGTTGTCCTTGCCAATTAAATGACATGTCAATTTTCTGCTACCACAAAAATATTAGAAGGCCTACACATCAGAACTACTGATACCAACGCACTGACAAATGACATGGTAGGTACATATAATGAATGCAATGTGCATACCAATCACAATCATAGGTTTGCTGCTCTCGAGTCACTAACCCTGATGCTATAGTTTCAGGCTTCCGCGGAGTGAGCGGACCCATGAAAATGCCACTATTTTTTTTAGTTATGTGTCCCCATATTCACTGACTCGTCAGTCCCACCAGCTTTTCACTGATTTCCCACAATCTGGCAGCGTCGGCGTCCTTCCTCGCTGCTGGAGCCACCTCCTTCGCCTTGCAGTCGACGTAGTATTTTCCGCTCTCCGTTGCCACCTTTGGTGACATCGCGCAGAACAGAGAAGTCTCGGCACCGGAGGCAGCGCTCTTAAAGAACGGCTTCAGGAAGACGAGGAAGCAGCGCTGCCAGGCGGGAGCGTTGGCCCAGATTGGCGTGCGCACCACCCCGGGGTGAACGGCGTAGACGGTCACCCCAGTGCCATGCAAGCGACGAGACAGCTCGCGGGCGAATAGGACATTTGCTAGCTTGCTCTGCGAGTATGCTTTCCAGAGCTCATAGCCACGAGTAAGCTGGAGATCGTCGAATAATATTTGACCGCGCTCATGAGCAACAGAAGACAATACGATCACGCGCGCTGGCGCCGATGCCTTCAGCTTGTCTAGCAGCAGCATCGTCAGCAGGAAGTGTCCCAAGTGGTTGACCCCAAACGTGGTCTCGAAGCCGTCCTGCGTCTCGCTCCTCTCGGCCAGTATTAGGCAGGCGTTGTTGATCAGCAGGTCGAGGCGCGCCTCCTCTCTGTTGATCCTTTCTGCGAAGGCGCGCACGGACGCCAGCGAGGCGAGGTCGAGCTGCATCACGTGCAGCGATCCGGCGGGCGGCGCGGCGCCGGCCGCCTGGCGCTCCAGCTGCGCGCGCGCCGCCTCGCCGCGGCTGACGGAGCGCACGGCGAGCAGCACGCGCGCGCCGCGCTCGTACAGGCCGCGCGCCGTCTCCAGGCCGATGCCGGCGTTGGCGCCGGTGACGATGGCCGTCTGTCCGTCGAGTCGGACGTCGGAGGGCACTCGGTGACCGCCCATGATGAGCCGAGGGGCGACAGGGTTCGCGGGACTCAACACTGGTCTTGAGACACGTGTGAGATGCCACTGAGATTCAGCACCCTTGAAAAATGAAAATGTTCGTCACTTTGTCACGGAGAACGTTTCAGATGAAGCGTCAGGAACTAAGTGTATCGCAAATGATGGCTCATGTGGCTTCATGACTGAACAAACGAACTTTGAACGGCGCAGCTGATAACCAGCTATCTTTAAAATCGATGAAGCGCTGGTCTTTCCATTGTCCGTATCTTATCTGTTTACTGACATCGATGACTTTGTGTCATGGCGATACAACTATATAAATACCTTGCCCAGAAACATCAGCTATTTAGTTAATTAAAAAGCTAACACAGAAAAGCAGATAAACACAAAACATCGAACTTGCATTACGTCCAAAAACTCTCGAGTCACCGTGACCTTGCAAGATAGCTCCGCTATCTACCAAGTACCATACCACGCGCAGATATCGGATATAGTGTGTAGGTACTAGGTACTTCAGGAGTCGCAGTTAGATGAGCCATCACATCTTGTGTCAAACGCTTCATCCCACTGACGTGCTCCGTGAAAAGATGTTTAGGAAGTGTGTGGCGTTTTACTTTCGGACTGACATCTGCCTGTCCAAGACTATGTTGAGTCCTGTGAACCCTGTCGCCTCTCGGCTCATCATGGGCGGCCACCGAGTGCCCTCCGACGTCCGACTCGACGGACAGACGGCCATCGTCACCGGCGCCAACGCCGGCATCGGCCTGGAGACGGCGCGCGGCCTGTACGAGCGCGGCGCGCGCGTGCTGCTCGCCGTGCGCTCCGTCAGCCGCGGCGAGGCGGCGCGCGCGCAGCTGGAGCGCCAGGCGGCCGGCGCCGCGCCGCCCGCCGGATCGCTGCACGTGATGCAGCTCGACCTCGCCTCGCTGGCGTCCGTGCGCGCCTTCGCAGAGAGGATCAACAGAGAGGAGGCGCGCCTCGACCTGCTGATCAACAACGCCGGCCTGGTGCTGGACGAGAGGACCGAGACTCAGGACGGCTTCGAGACCACGTTTGGGGTCAACCACTTGGGACACTTCCTGCTGACGATGCTGCTCCTGAACAAGTTGAAGGCATCGACGCCATCTCGCGTGGTTGTTCTCTCTTCCGCTGCACACAAGAGAGGACGCATAGAGTTCGACGATTTGCAGCTGACCCGTGGCTACAGCTTGTGGAAAAGCTATTCGCAGAGCAAACTTGCGAATCTCCTTTTCGCGCGCGAGCTGTCTCGTCGCCTATCTAGCACTGGGGTGACCGTCTACGCCGTTCACCCCGGGGTGGTGCGCACGCCAATCTGGGCCAACGCTCCCGCCTGGCAGCGCTGCTTCCTCGTCTTCCTGAAGCCGTTCTTCAAGAGCGCTGCCTCCGGTGCCGAGACCTCTCTATTCTGCGCGATGTCACCAAAGGCGGCAACGGAGAGCGGAAAATACTACGTCGACTGCAAGGAGAAGGAGGTGGCTCCAGCAGCGAGGAAGGACGCCGACGCTGCCAGATTGTGGGAAATCAGTGAAAAGCTGGTGGGACTGGCATAACTATGCAAACTTGATCTCTTGGCGGTCATCACATTCAACGCTTCGAAGAGCTCAAAAGGAAACAATGACGAGAGCAATACATGCACGAGACGACTGGATACCTACCTCCTGTTTGAGTCATTGCATGTACCTATTTAGGAAATTATGTTCAATAAAACGGTAACCGAATGTTTGTCTGCTTGGTAGTCAGCTGTTTTGTAGGTATCTGTTGGGGAGGGGACGCATTTAAAAACTCGTAAAAATGCAAGCCAAAATAGAGCGAATTATTTATTCTTCCGAGACCGTTTACTGCGAATCGATGTTAGGCATGCCTGAGTAGTAAGCATTCAAAACACATCCGTCTATGTAGTTTCTCGCTTTGAACTACTATAACGTAGTCAGTCCAGTGCAGAGTAATAGGCATTGGGTAAAAGACGATAGGTATGATACCAAACGGAGGTCTAGCTACATGCACGATCTTTCGGAAATAATTGGAAAATAGAGCGACTAAAGATAAGAAAAATTATAAACAGGAACGGACCATTCGACTTAACAACTCAATCCACAATCAAAGAACTGCGTGCCGGCAGTAAATAGGAATGTCGTATTCCATCCAGAAAACCAAATGTACAAGTTTCAAGACGCAGCAACACGGTGCTTTCCACGGTAATGCAATTTATCCAACAGCTGTATTGTTTAGTTATAGGACAGTCTAAAACACATCCTACCACATACTGTAAAAGCACAAACTGCACCGACGAGGCTGTATGCAACCCGCTCTGCAGCTTTGACAGCATTCGCCGCCTACACAGGTATTCCTATATCAGACCTTTTCACGCATCGCTCGCCGTCCGCCATCACAGGCACCGCCATGAAATATGCACAGGGCGGGACGGCGCGTCCGGCCCGCTCGCCCCGGAGAGTGTTTGAACAAGTGCCAAGACCTGGCCAGACGGTACGCAGTATTGGCCCAATCTACGTGTCGTTTGCTCGGCTATGACGGTGCGGCCACTCGCTCCTCATCACACGCTCGAGACTCCCCTCGCGGTGTCAGTAGCCGCGATGACGTGAGTATGTCGACGATGAGTCGTCGGGGCGTTGAGGACCTTTCCACTCTGAGAGGCGAGAGCACCGTAAAACACAGAAGCACCATGGTGGCAGACGTGAGCGGGGATGTGTGTGCGTGTTGTGTGTTTGTGCGTACGAGTGTGGCTGTCACGGCTGTCAAAGAATACACGGTTATCATGCGAATGAGCCAATTAGTTTGACTAATGAGGAGCACGTATATAGCGGATACGATGTTCCAAGGAGAGAGATACGACACAGGGCAAATATTTGACCACACTCACAAGCAAAGTACATGAAGATAACCACTGAGGTTCGCCATAAACGAATATCAGTGGTAGAAGACATGGGCACAGACATAATTGAACATGACCGGACACCACCCATGTTCGTTCATCCATATCAAGGGGTCATCGTTACACGACAGTGTGGGCTGAAGAAGACCTGCGTTCATTCGAATGCCCGTCGACTGGCAATGGGGATGCATGCTACACAGACGACCGAGTCCGCATGGGGGATTCACATATAGTGTATGGCCAGTGACTGATCACCAGTAATGTCTGTACAGACTGGTTAACGATCTCATTAATCAGCGACCTGTAGGCTCAGTCTGCCTTTCGGGGTCCTTCTATAAGCTGGTCAGTAACTTCCAGCCACTGCCTTTCAGAGACTCACAGGCTCCTCTGTGGAACATCGCTTGTCGCTGATGTAAAGGCCCTGACTGTCTTTCAGTGTCTTACAAGATCCTGCCAGCAACCTCGCTGGTCACAACTGATGCCCAGTCCCACTGTCAATGTTTCAAGCTTACCTGCCGCCCAGCGTCCAACACCGCGGTGGAATCGGTAATCGCTGACAACAATCGCTGTGACACGAACCGGTTGGCACTAAACGCGCACTAAACGGAGCGTCACACAACGTGTCTGCGTCCTGTGATGGCGTCAAATGTCATTCTTAGGGCCATCAGTTGGTGATGTTACAACGTCTGAGGTTTCGTACAATGCACGCGTCTTCATGGACAACGAAGTGCTCTTTTCGCACTAAGCAGCCCCCTTCCCCTTCTTCGCACATTCATCACCGTCTTCACCCGCGTTACGACTATTCTCAGTCTGAGTGTCGTCGGCAGCCTACCGTGCCGCGGTCGCCACGGCGAGTGAAGTCAGCAACAGAACCCAGGCGCTGGAGGCTGCAACACCGGCCCCTCCCCGGGCCATCGGAGCATCCTCCCTGCGAACGGACGCTCCGGCTGGCGGAGGCGACTCGGCCTTGAGCCGCCGCTGCTGGCCCCCATCCAGCTGCCCCTGGTCCTGCTGTTTCTGATGGTGCGGGTCCGGCTGCTTCTGACGATGCTGCTGCTCCAACTCCTGCTGCCTCTGTCGGTGGTGATGCTTCTGATGCTGCTGCTGAGTGGTCGGCTTCTTTGAGTGTTGGTCTCCCTTGATAGCATCCTCCGCCAGAGGTCGGTCGCAGGGCAGCTCCTGAACCTGTCAGCACAGATACGCCATGGTCAGGGGCTGATATCATACGGTGAGGTCATCTTGGCACGGTGGTTGATTTTCCAGCTGCTCAGCTCGTCACCCGGACTAGGGTAGGGACTACACTTCGCTCTCGGTGGCGGGATGGCATTAGTATGTGTTTTGATTCGTGAATTCCTGCCAAAAGCCCGCACGAACACGGTTTGCTTCTCTCACGACAATTTGTCAGTTTGTCCTTAAAACAAATAGCCGGATGATTTGTTTGTTTTGGTTGAAAATATGTTTCTAAAGATTATTTTGAGGCTTAATGTACTATAAGGCACGTCACCAGCAGTTGTGCTTCAATATGCGCACAAATACAGAAAATATCAAGCACACAACAACGTAATAACATTCGTGCCATGCAAATGGAGGCCAAAACCAGCCGTTTGACTTAAATACAGAAAATGACCTAAATAAGCTTTCCGAGAACAATACATCAAGATAAACAGTGGCTAAGTGAAGAGGCATACAACTCACGTTTAAAAAATAACTGTCACTATAACAGTCACATATAGTCATATAGTCACATACTGACTAGTGACACTGAAGGGTTCACTGAAGTGACACTGAAGGGTTACCGAAGGGTTCAAGGGAGCTCAACAGCTCAATCTAGCAAAAGAAAAACAATAAAAAACAATACAAAAACTCAGAGAAGTTGGCTAATAAAAATAAATTCAACTAGGTGAAAGTAAATTGTAACATTTACATAAGCATTTATTTTATACCTTCAAAATGAAAATAAAATAGGTTTTCTAGTGATTTAGACTGTTCGTATCTCTAGAACCAAACGGCCGCACTCCGGGCTTCTCAGAGCTGGATATACAATGAGGGGAATTCCACAGTGCATTTGATGCCCGTCAGTGATCAATCGTTGCATGCCAAGTGCAAGTCGATAGGCTATTAGCATTCATGAGCTGGGAGCATTGTTGCAGTCCTGAACCATCACGCTGAGCGTCGATCTCTGTGCAACCGCTCAGAAGTATTCGGCGACGAAATAGTCATTTGCATACAGTTGAGTTACTGGTACGCGTACGGTTCGTTCTGGAAGGGCTCGTTAAGAAGTAGGTATAATAAGAGCGGTTTTAATGAGGTAGCTCCTTAGCCAGCCAGCTGCACTTTTTTAAACGCTTAATGATGTGTGTGGAATTTATAACATGGGGTGGACTTGGCCTTTAAAAGTTTGATCTAAACAACGGAAGTACATAAAATGGAGTATAAGGAGGAAGGCTTTCAATGCCTGTTTTTTTTTTTATTGAATATTTGCTTTATAGGCCATTCCTTGTCTCACAGATGACCAATCTCCTTGCACCCTCCTTTGCATGTCCATCGTACTGTCGAATGCTGCTAACATGACTACAGGTGCACTCTAGCTACGCTTCACGTGCACATCAACAACCACATATGCACGTTCATTCAACCGTAACTAAAACAGCACCACCCCACATGCTTGCCATGCAGCCTCACCCACCCCACTACCACTCTCCTACAACACTTCTTAGGTCACCAGCCACTGACCACACCCTCCATGCTCCTTCTCTACAACCTCGCGCCGCCGCGGCAGCCCCACCTGAAGCTGCATCAGTTTCCGGAGCGGCGCAGCGCCCACCTTGAGGTCCACGAGGCGGACCGGCGGCCCGATGCCCAGGGTGCTCGTCTCCAGAGGCGGGTCGGCGGTGACGGCCGTCTCCAGCCGGGCAGGCAGCGAGTCGCCCTCCATGTGACACACGGTGTTGTCCAGCGCCGCCTGGACGTGGGTGGAGGCGGTGGCGGTGCGAAGACCGAGCAGCCACGCCAGCCGGCAGTCGCAGTGCAGCGCGTTGTCTGAGGGAGGAGGGAAACCGGGAGATTAAATGTTGAGTGTTAAGGATGGTGATGTCCGCAGGCGTTCCGAGTCGAGTCAGCCCCTCTGCAGGACATGTGTAAACGTTTTGTGCAAGGTGCATTTTGAGTCAGGCTTACGAATCACTCTTGGTCTTCTAATCACTGGTGGCGGTATATTTCTATAAAAAAAAACGAAAGATGTTAATGAAAGAGCTTCGTTTCGCGTCCGCCGTCCATATAAGATCCAATGCTCTATTACGTTGGTATGAGAGCACAGGTGCAAACGGGCCCATTTCCTCTCCGGAGCACCATATTACCATTTTCACAGCTGCCAGCATCAACAGGCTATCTCGACTCGCTGCTTAACCAAGCAAGTTTTGCATGAATTAGTGCGAAAGTCAACAGCGAAACGCACGTCGTCGAGTGCTATTAGTGCCCTGATTAAACGGGCCGGGACAACCAGTGACGTCACAGGGTGGTGAGTCAGCTGAGCAGGTGCTGCCATTGGCCCATTCACGGGATGAGCACGGCACCCGGAATTGGCTGCCAGAGGAGTCCGTATTCGTATGGGTTGGCGAGCCGCCAGCCAGCACACCGCTGCCACCACGAGCCCCGGCTCAGCCCCGCGGCACATATAGAAGATGCGGCATTGTCTTTCGGAACTTTGCGAGCGATGCTATGGGATTGACGGCCCAATGACAGTCACATAATAAAGGACCTGCTGCTCCTTTGGAGTGAACAATTCACAGCCATTTATCTTATATGCATTCAGATGGAAATCAGTAACACATTCTAAGGCAAATATTTACAGATCCTAGCCCAGCGGCTCAACCTTTTAGCTCGAATCGAGTTCGTCGGTTATTCAACCATGCATTCATTTTGCAATGGATTAAGCATTTAATTAACACAATCCATATCTAACCGGGCATTGAGAAATGTGCGAACTAAAGCCCCCAGTAACATTACAAAGGTACGTACACAAATGGCGTATCTGTCAGTCGGCCCCATGCATTAGACCGGACGTGCTTGGAGAGCCACACAAGGCAACATGGCTCTGTGCAGTGCAGAAGCGATTCGCGTGGCTCATTTGGAATCACCAGCAGCGAGAAGGGAAAACAGTGGCTCATGGTTTGTTTTCGTAAGCGGACAGCCGCCGGTGGCCACAACCACAAGTGTGGTGAACAAACAATAAACATTTGTCGACAAGGGAAAAGAGAAGAGAGGGAAAGAGCTACAAGACAGCCCGCAGGTTGATGGTCTTCAGGAAGACACTTTTCACTCGTTCCAATGCCTACCTTCCTGAACCTATGTGTCATGCTTGCAAAATGCAGAACTCTAGCATTTTTTGCTTCTAATTGTCCTTTCAAACATGGTTAAATTACAGACACTTTACAAAAAAGCAGAGACATTGACAGCTTAACACAGCTGGCACGCAGGAACATTAGTTTGCCCCGCGTGTAAAGTAGTAAGCCAGCTCTGGATCGTCCATATAGTCGCGGCTAGTCTCGACCTCGAGTCCTTGCACCCTGAATTCTGATTTTATTTGTTGGAACAGTTCACGGTAGCGTGCTAAACGAGCGGATATGCTGGGGTTATCAACTGCTGGAGATGGTGGAGAGCGACTATTAGTGTGGCTATCGGCAGTGATGGGTGATGGTGTTGTGTCAGAATTCATGCTAGGCGCTGAGGATGGTTGTGTGATATCAGTGATGGCATTGTTGGCTTGATGTGTTGGCAAGTGGATGTGGTCTGGGGTGGCATGATTGTAACATGTGCCATTTTGGGTCTGTCGTTTTTGAGTTTGCCGTAGTCCTGGGGTCCATGATTGTACCTGATGTTGAACGGTGTCGGAACTCATGGGAAAATGGGTTGTCGATCCTATGATTGCTGCCGCGTTTCCACGTATGATGGCCATTGACAACCGTTGCCATAACCAAGCTGTTTCTCGTCGGTCACCGGTTGATTGTCCTTTTCTGATTAAGTATCTGGACATTTTTTATCCCATTTTCTCTCTCTCTCTCTCTCTCTCTCTCTCTCTCTCTCTCTCTCTCTCTCTCTCTCTCTCTCTCTCTCTCTCTCTCTCTCTCTCTCTCTCTCTCTCTCCTCTCTCTCTCTCTCTCTCTCTCTCTCTCTCTCTCTCTCTCTCTCTCTCTCTCTCTCTCTCTCTCTCTCTCTCTCTCTAAAATATATCCAACTGCTGCTGGGCAGTCACCATTCCAAGCTCTCTTGATCTTCCAGGCAACCGCCATTTCAAGCCTTCTTGAGCTCCCGGGCATCTGCCATTCCAAGCTCTCTTGGGAAGCAGGCCAGTTGCCATTCCAAGCTCTCTTGGGAAGCAGGCATCCACCATTCCAAGTTCTCTTGGGCTCCCGAGTAGCCACCATTCCAACCTCTCTCACTCATATATCCCTGCCGGGCGCGCAGCCGCCATTCCATGTCTCGGTCAGACGCTGGCCGCTGGACAGCCGCCAGCGTTCCCAGACATATCTCATGAGAGAGCCGGCATGAAAACACGTCACCAGATAACGCTAAATAAATCCAGACAGCAGTGCTGGGCGTGGCTGCCGGAATGGGACAATGGTGGATGCGTTATAGCCGTCCGTATTTTAGTCCTTAGTGATGGGTGTTACTTATCGCGACTTTTACCGTGATAAATGTTACATAAGAGACCTTTGTCATATCTCCAAGTGATACCTACGGTCATTCATAACACAAAATGAGCATAACGATAACAATAATATCTAAACATATCAATAGGCAAAGCATGTATCGGATACACCGCGTTGGATAAATCGACTAGAAGCCTGAGCTCATTTGAAATATTCACACATTTCGCTAAACCTGTCACATTCAATCAAACAAAATAGGCTATTTAGCTCCACGGTGAATTGAATACTGACTGGGTCTCTTACATATACCTACGAGCGAAACGGTCTCTTCGTTCATTGAACGGCAGTGTATGATCTCGGGTTTGGGCCAAATTATTTGTTTGGTATAGAGGCAGCTCCTCAACGAAAACATACAAGGTAAATATGCAAAAAGGATATGGCAAGGAACGTCACTCTTCCATTTCCTTCACCGATTCAAATTATGTTGCTCCTTAGTGGGCTTTATTTATCTAAAACCGAGCTCTCTGGTACGTAGACAATAAACATTTACCGCCTACCTGTCTCCCATCGCCAAGTGGTCAGTCCTAGCTCGTGAGAGTGCACTGTGCAGTCACACCCAGCGGCAGCAACAGTACATTGATTGATGTTTGACTGATGCAAACACCGGAATATTAGCAGGCAAGTCAAGGTAAGTAGGTATGCCTCACTTTTAACTTCAATTGCAAATGTGCATCAGGAAGCACTTCACAGAAACGTTTCCCATACTTTTCCGCTATACCCAGGCTTCTTCAGTACCTAAATCTAATAGGTATAATGAAGACTCTCAGCATCCTCGATGTCGTTGCGGTCAATGTGGCGGATGCGCACCTGAGTGAATCATAAATCGTCAGGCCAAAACCTCACATTGGCCAAGCCCGCCACCTTGCTCGTGACCGAGGCGGGGCCGAGCCCGCCCACCCGACCTCCCGCCGGTGCCAGCAGGTGCAGAGAGCCAAATCAGCCCGGGTGGCTGCTGCCAGAACCGGGCAGGACCGGCAGAACGCCCGGCCAGGGTATCTCAGAACGGGGTCAGGACTGGGTCAGGGCAGGAGAGGTCATGAGCAGGAAAATGGGCGTGGTAAGGCGGTATAAAAATCAGAGACGGCCCAGGTGAGTTAGAATAGGAAATAGCGGGAGAGGACAGGGGAGGGCGAGAATTTAAAGTAAGAGAGCAAAACTGAGAGAACAAACTCAATAGGGGATAATGAAAATGTAACGGCAACCGGATAACTGAGTCAGGAGGGGCCAGGAAATCGTTAGGACAATCTCAGATCAAGGTCAGGACAAGGTCAGGACAGGGTCAGGAGGAAGACAGTCATAGCGACAGATCAGACACAAGATGTACCGGTAAAGGAAAGAACAGAAACGTACAGGCCTCAGGTCCCAGTCAAATGCGTTGCCAGGTGGCAACAATGTCCTGTCAAGCAGCCTGTCATGGGAACTGACCCGATGTTCGGCACAATCGTTTTACACGTCCAATGCACGTTATAAAAATATCACCACAAGCAACGATTCCACGTGTTGGTGGCATGCAATAAATAATGGTTAAAGACTCTGTCACATCGTATACAGTCATGATACTTTAATAACACCACCATCTTGATACACAACCTTCAATAAAACACACAGCCATCAAAGATGGCGACTTTTACGTGCATCGATGGTCGCATATAATGCCCTTTTTACGATGGTATCTTTTACAGCTTCATCGGTCGTAACTCTGGCCGCACTATTCAGCTGTCGGTCCGTAGAAAAGTCTCCGTCGCTGATGATGACACGTTGCAGGGCTGAATGACGCCACAGAATGGCCGCCTCAGACGGCGACTCGCGCCATGGCACACCAATTGGCTGTGTAATACCTCATCACAGCGGAAACACAAGGCGCGTGACTTCATTCGGGGGCTGGCAGTTGGTGGGAGGGAAGTGTAGCAGTCGTGGCCAGTAGCTGGCGGTAGGGAGGTAGCAGTCATGGGCAGCGTCGAGGGACAGTTGGCGGTAGGGAGGTAGCAGTCACGGGTCTGCAGCTTGTGGAGTCACAGTCAGCACAGAGTAAAGAATAGGTAGGGACCATGGCGGTCGGTGTAAGGGGAAGGGGCAGTCAGGAACCAAACGCTGGTGTCCAGACAGCAATTGGTTGAGAGTGTTTGATAGTGGACCAGCATTTGGCATTGGAAAGAAACAATTAAGGGTCAGAGATCGGTCGCAATGAGGATTCTTTGGCACGTACCATGGGATACGCAGGGCTGATGCACCCCAGTGACCACACACGCGGCGCTGGCCACCGATCGTGCATGCCGTAATGTCTGTAGCTTGTAGTTTGACACGCGTAGTGAGGGTTTTACAATGAAACTA